AAGCGCTTGTAACTTTAGGGTTGCGGTGGCATTTGTTTCAAGAAGTCTTTCCATAGTCACAGTCCATCACAGAAGGATCAAACTGAATTATCTGGTTTGGTGTCACAAATACACCAAGTCTTATAAATAATGAAGATACTTGGCTTGCTATCTTCCATGTGACTTTGCTGGCACAGTTTGCCATTCGAGCCTCTCTTATCAAATCCTCATCGCATGTGCGAAATGTCCATAACCATCATAACTGGACCAGGAGAACGGACAGTTCACTCACGATCAAGGCCACCTAGAACTGTCGTATTCTGAACTTTGGGGAGTCTCGTCACGACACCAATACTTCAGGGAAATATGCATCCTCTTCAGAACATTATTTTGTGTTGTATCTCTATTTGATCGTCGCATGCCATCCATTCATGATGCAAGTCCTGCAATTTTCCTAGCACCAGTGTTCGCCCCTGTTTAATGTATCTTTTACTTGGTCCTTTGCTTGGTTTAATCCTCAACTCTTGGCTTAACTCATCACAAGTTGTCGTGTTTGTCCATTTCCTCCTTATGTTCTAACCATTTTGGTAATCTTTATATAATTTACCGCTGTATATGTGAGTTATGTCTTTTCATATGCGATGTTTGATGGTCTAACGATTGTAGGAAGCAAGATCAGTGCCTGCAGCAACCGAAGAGAAAGTGGTGTGGATTGCGATAAAAACTCTGACTGCGTAGACACGCCAAGAGGCTATAGCTGCGTGTGTCGTGACGGTTACGTAGACGTTTCAGAATATTTTGGCAGGAAAGCTGGGCGGATCTGTCGAAAAGGTCAGCTTTGGTTTTTTTTGCTGTAAATTACATATTTTCAAGTCGATAGGTTTCATGAATTTTCACAATATTTATGAATAAGATAGCATACACGTCTAGTGCTTTTGATTTGAGTAAATCTTCCAATGGATAGCTGCGGTCCGTCGAAAGAAGTTGAGAAATTTTACTGTATTATACTGTCGAACTCTTACTGCGACTATGTAGATGGTAGATGTCTTAGCACACCGTGGCTAAAAGAAGTATGTTCTCTAATCGCTGTGCTTGCCACGAGGACTCATCCTCAACGTGAAGATCATCTGCTAAGGAGACAGTACTACGTCATTGCTGTGATCGCTACATTTCCACATATATTTAAAACCGGCTTGCGCCAAAAACGTTGTTCCAGTTATAAACGCTAATGGAGAACTTAGAAACGTTGTCTTTATAGAAGGGTGATGACGCTTGCGCAGCAAGTGCAGCAACAACTTGGCATCGTACATTATTACCATTTTTCGTACGAGTCAATGTGTCATTACATGAGTGATGCATACCGAGGTCAGAGTAAATTCCTCAACAAAACCAATCAATGGTCACAGGATACCTAACAATGACCGTCTTATATTTGAACGTACATCCAGTTAGATGTGCATGCAAGCGAATCAATCAGCGACGGTACAGACCATGTTCGTTAGTCGATTCTAACCTCGCATGACATCTAATCTTTTCCTAGTGATCTCTCCTTGCTCTGTTCAAAACAGAGCCTGAAAAGATTCTGCATACGCTCAATGAATCAGGTTCATTCTGAAGTAATGTAATCTTTTTCGAATATTATTCACCCGATATCAGATCTAGAGATCTGAGGCAAATGTGAGTTCGGAGATAGTAAAGGATTCCGTCGAAAAATTTTGCTTCGTTAACCTCCGCAAATCTTTACGGCTAATGGATCAAACTCATACAGTGTTAAAGTATGTATGTAGTGGCACAAGGCTTTGCTTGCTTGTAGATTATGCAACTTTACAGTTTTCGGATTAATTCAAGGGATGATCACCATGAATATGTTTAACTATCATGATCGGTAAATTGTTAATACATATTTACTGACACACTGATCGATCCTTGTTCGCTGCGGCGCTGATTACATCAGCTCTGTGACATCGGCTCTGTATTGGAGTTCATTTGTGTGGTTGAATGAGAGTCAAATTCTCGTTGGACCTCCACAAAACGCCTGTGGGATGAATGATTCCCATCCACAGCATGGATAACTGTTTCGAATCGAATATTTCCAATCATGGCAGCTGAATATTTCTAAGAACAAGTTCCGCGTTGCGTGTTGCTACGTACGGATAGTGATTGGTGATGGACGCATCGGTGATATGCGGCGAACCGTTGGACATTTCAGACTTGAAATACTGGCGGTGTTCGAAATTCATGTCACTAGCCAAAGTGGACTTAAGCTTGCTAATGGCTAGCCTCCTCTCCCAGTCCGGTGTTGCTGTTCTTCTGTCGTCTGAAACTGTTCCTGTTCGGTGGAATTTATATCAGATAGCCTAATGGCACGTCACTTGAACATCAGACACACGAAACTTTCGGTGGTCGTCAGGTTACACACCCTCGAACGTGGCGAGGGTCACATAAAAGTACGCTTTCTGCCTCGTGCTTCACTCGGTTATGAGTCGCTCTCCCTCTCCATGACCTGACCATTATCACCGATGGCCTGAATGATCAAATAGGCGCTGAAGATGAAAGCTGGTCTCAGGTACTCGGTCATCACGCAATTGGTGAGGCCAACGACAACCGATTTTTCGCTTCGCCCGAACTACTTGTCGGAGGAATCTTCTTTCCGCACAAGGAGATTCACCAATTTACATGGATTTCTCCCGGTGACAGTTTTCATCGCCAAATCGATCGTGTTTTGGTCAATCGTCAATGGCCGATTCGTTGTGTGATGTCCGGATTTGCCACGGTCTCGGTCTTGACAGTGACCATTATCTATTCGTTGCTGAACTACGTGCGAAATTGGCCGTAACAAACAAAGCGATTCGATCTGTCATTCTTGATTATTACATGCTGAAGCAATCAGACATAAAAGCCGCCTATCAGCATGAAGTGGAAGTGCCTATGAAACGAAACACCGAATCCAACGCTCTGCACTCAGACATCGGCAAGAAGTGGCTCCAACTAAGCCAACGACTGATTACAGCAGAAAAAGGACCATCGGTAGTAGGCACAGAACAAGGCAACCTTGGGTTTACGCAGACACCGCAAAATTGCATAGTAGAAGGAACGACTCCAAACAAGTAGCCTTACAACAGCGAACGGTTGAAACTCACTCCAATTACCACTTGGTCAGAAACCATTGGATAGAAAGAATAGCGGAAAAGCCGAAGGAAGCTGCAAGTCCAGGTGATATTGGATCGGCGTTCAAAGGGCTACGACTGTTGACGGGAAGCAGTGATGCTCTAAATGTCCAAATTCGAAGTAAACAAGGTCGATTAATGGCAGAACAGGAAGAACGGCTGCAAGTATGGGTGGAACATTTCAAGGCGCGTTTGAATACAGTTGACTCGTCTGAACCTTTTCTTGTCGAAGCCCTCCAGAAGCCCTTGATATGTGTTCAGAGCTTCTTTGCGAAACCGAAATCTGCCATGCTCTGAAGCGTCTAAAAGGTGGCAACGTGATTGGATCCGATCAGAACACCGAGCTGATTACGAATGGCGGAACGGCTGTTCAAAACGCTAGCGGAACTTTGTCGCGAAATACGGTCGTCCTACCAGGTACCGGTGGAGTGAAAGATGGAGTTAAAATTCTCATTTTTCGGGAGGAAGTTAGTCAGATGTGTCCAGTTGTCTGAACTATGTGGAAAGACATCGTTAAGACTGACCTACAGTCGCTTAGGAGTATTTTCTTCGCGGAGGTGATGCAATAAGCCTAAAGTCATATCATTCCGTTTGCCATCGGAAGCTGACTGACGCAAAGCCTAAGCGACGATGACCCAAATGTCAGACCGAGATTTTCACCTAATCCTTTTCGGTCGTTCTGGCAACTATTCACGCTTGCCAACCGTTTTATGTAATACACCCGTTTGCCTTTGATCCGGGTCCAGTTGACTTCTGAGTGATGACAGTGTGCGGATTTGCTGGCTCAGAGCATACCTCATTGAGTTCAGGCATAGTCACTACTTTTCTGGTGACTTCTTATGAGCATCACGAAGCAGTGTCTCATTTTGCGGGGGAACTCGCAATTGTAAGAGCATGGTACATTCTACAATATCTAACTTGAAGCGAAATTTCTCCGAGAGGGATAATTTTGAAAGATGCAACATCCCTTTTCATT